GAGGGAAAGATGTGAAAAGGGGGGGGGGGGGGGGGGGGGGGGCTGTTGGACCTTGGCGGGGATATGTGCTCTACTGAGTGCCACTGTAGTTGGTTTGTTTGTATGTTTTTTATCTAGCTTTGCTAAAAATGTCCAAACTGATCTGGAGGGATGGGGCCTGAAAAGATCCCACTGAATTTTGGTGCAGAAGAAGATTTACGGGCAGATTCCAGGACTGTTCTTCCTCCATTATCTTTCATGTCAAATGAATCCTGTGAATCGCACCACTTCCTTTTCTCTTTTATATTCTCACTGTAAGAACTAGACAATCATGTATAAGAATGTTCGACCTTGTCGCTTTGCACCTCATGCCACTCTAGCTTAGTTTAGATTAGTCAAAGTAAAGAAACCGGCCGTGTTATGTCGGAATGTCTCAGAGTTTATACAAGTTGATAAATCTGAGACAAAGTAATGTCTGTTCCCCGTGTGGTGATAAAACCAGCATCACTACAGTCTCGGCTCATCACTGTCTCGTTGTTCTTCATGTGTGACACCTCTTCTCTCCTGTTGTTGAGATGGATCCTTCTGACCGGACTCCTCCACGTGAATCCTAATTATCACTTCAGAGACGTATGTGTTCTCACGCTCCGCTCCTAATGTTATACATAGCTCTAATGTTAAAGATATATGGTGGTGATCAGGGTTTCTCCTGTGAGTGATCGTCACTGTCAGTAATGCTCCTGCTTGGCTCGGAGATTCATTCCCCTGCTGTTGAGATTTTTCGGTCTCGCACCGCTCCGATCCATAACACCCTGCTGTTCAGCTGTCATATCTGCTGCTCGTATTTCCTTTTTATCTAAGCCACACATCATGAACTGAGCTGTTAGGTTTATGGGCTCTTTAACTACCCCACTGTTGGCTCATATTGGATTCATTTGTCTTTTTAGGCCGGGTTAAGGCTTCACCCTGGGATTATTGCGTCGGTGATCTTCGTGTCGGCGGCGATGATAGCTGCTGCTGTATTGATCATCCGAAAATACTGCTTCCCAGTCAAGTAAGCAAACTTTGACTAATGGGCCTTTGTGGGGTTTATTAGAAAATTCTCACTGCGGTGAAAACACATCACCTCGTCATTGTCACGTTCATTTCAGCGAGGCGACGTACAGATACTCGCTGCTGAGGCGGATGGAGGATCAGAGTTCAGCCGTGACAGACGACGACAGGGGGCCTCGCACAGCGGGAGAGGAGTCAGACGAGGTCAGTGCATCGCGGCTCTGCTGTTTGTAGCTCTCCCTGTCATCTGTCGCGCACACTGACACAGCTGTAACCTTCCTCATCACATCACATGTCATTTGTTAACTTACTCTTTCCTTGTGACAGGATCTTCTGGAGTAATCCTCAGATCGACAGGAAGAAGAATTTATTGTGGATGAAATGTTTGGATCAGGGCTGCGAGAAATAATACATTTTTTGATCAATCATTTGGTCCCTTCAACATCAACAAATTATGTTTGATTTAAAAAAAATAATAGCAACAGAAATCTCACACTTGAGAAGATGGAATCATAAAATGTTTGGATTTCTGCTTGAACAAAAATCGAAATCAAATATCAAACCAATCAATCAACTAGTCGATCAATTCATTACTTGCAGCCTTAGTGTGGTTTATGTTTCTGGATTTGCCTTCATCTTGCCAGTGTTCTTTTGTTATGTTTGATAAGAAATAACGAGCTTAATCTGTTTCATCACGTTAAAAGAAAAACTTACCAGTTTCACATCAAGTGTTTTAATGAGTTAGCCCTGATGTAGCCCTGTTAGAGAGTGGCATTCTGGGAAATGTACGATCTAGCATTTTCTGAAGCCATAAACCAATAAGAAAAGAAATGCCCCCCCCCCAGCTTTATTTTAAATGCAATACTAAATCACCAGGGAACCACTTAACAAAGAGTGCATTTTATTTATATATTTATCTTTATTTAAATAGTCTCAACATATGGCGTACAAGACTTCTAAAGCTGCATCAAGCTACATATTTATTATTAACACCTCCTCAGATGACTTGTAGTTTTGTGAGAAGGAGGCTGTTGATCCCGCCGAGAATCAACAACTGCTGTTCCAATTCTGTTTCAACGTTTTCACTTGTCACATACAAGGATCTACTTTAAATATGTAAATAAGGCTCATAGAACACATGAAATCAAAGAATTAATATGTTAAAACAAATAAAATCTGCTGCAAGACACAAATTTGCTTAAATATAGCTGAGATTAATTTATGTAAAGTGTTTAATTTTAAAGTTCTGTCACCGTCTGTGTGATAATGTCATTAATTGTCAGTTGTTGCCTTTTAAACAATGCATCCAGTCCTCGTTCAGAACACGTGAGTATATAACGTGATTCCACAGTTATTAAATGAGCAGTTCAGAGTTGACATTTCTGATAAAGCGAGTGACTTGCACTCGCACTAAGACTCGACGATCTACTGGTCGGCCCCTTCCCTTTGAAATCTAATTCCATTTTTCATGCTCACATTAACCCACTTCAAATACATTTGCTTTAGAGTTCAGAGTCCACTGCCTCTTAAATGGACTCCTACACTGACTGATGTCGCATGATAGTTTTTTTGACAGCAACATTTACCACAAAGATTCAAAAAAGAAAGAAAGACAGAAATCAGCAGCTCGGGAGTCGTCATAATGTGTCGCAGGAAGCCGGTGATTAATCATTCATCGTCAAAAATCATTTCACTACAGTTTCTCTTTTGAATCGATATTTTCTATTTGCTATCAGTCTCCTCTTGTGAAGTTCAAGTGTTACTGGAGATTTTGGGAAAAACTGTATCCAATGAGAGTGTTTGCTCCAAAGTTACTGATGATGGTGTGAAAGATCCTGACGTCTGCTGTGCATCATCTCACTGAGATTAAATGTGTGATGTTATTAAATGTGTTTAAACTGTGAGCTGGCTGATTGTCCTTGTTCCGTTCACCTCGTGACCTTGATGGTTTATTCTCTTTTTTTCTCACCAAAATAAAACCTCAGGGAGTAAATCTGTCATTGTTATAATAATGCTGCCGACCAATATTGACCATTTAAAACAAGGTTTATGTTGTTTTTCATGTTAAAGTGCATTTGTGTTAGACACCACTTAACAAAAAAATGGTGGCTATATAACTACGATGTTACCTCTTAGTTTCACTGGATGTATTTTCTGTATGATCAGTATATGGTACATGGACACTCTCTGCTGGTTGTATATAATATTACACCATGTCAGGAATGGGAAGCTGCAAACTGTCAAGATGAACGGCCCCTGACTTTTAAAATCATTATGTGCACTAATGTTGCTCTTGAAGGTTTTTTTTTAGTAAAAGCAGTCTTTCAAATGAACATAATAACAATAATGTCACTAACTAAAGAAACTCAAATCCTGCAGAATGATAGATAAAATAAAATAGATTACTTCACCACTGTTCATCTTTAGTTTCTTAATGCATTTTATCTTTATTTTAGAATTTATCGTATCTCTAAGAAACATCAACTGTCAGTACAACAGCTTCCTCTCAACGTTAAATATGCTTAAGCTTGTGTTTAAACTTGCTCAACTTTCTCAAAGTCAAGCCTGGACTTTCAGTAGTTACAACAGGCAGCAGCACCAGAGTCTTTGATTTAATTCATGTATTGTTAGTTTGTGGAAATTAGATTATTTAATATATGTTGAAATGCAAATTTAAATCCTGACACTCGTCACCTTGTCTTACAGTGGTGACAAAATCAGCTTTTGATTAATTTAAAGTGAAGCAGCTTTGTCCACTGATCTCTGGTTTGGTGGTTCAACCCCTGGATCCACATGTCTGCATGTGTAAGTGTCTTTGGGAGACACTCTGGACAACACACTGCTTTTGAGAAACACCGTCTTAAAATAATTAACTGTATTTATATAGCACCTTTCAGAACACAGTTACAATGTGTTTGACAAGTTAAAAATGAAAAATTAAAGACAAACGAACAAAACAATTAAAAGCAGTTGGAAGATCACACAACTTTAGAGTAGAAATACAAGGATGAAAATATCTTTGGTCTCGGTCCCTTCTGCCTCGGAGCCGGGGTCATCACTTTTGTGTGTCCTCCAGGAAACACCTCTGTTGTCGTCCATGCTATTTGGATATGTAGTGTTGCATTTATTCGTAGTGATGAAGATGTTTTTTACCTGCTAGTTTTTCTATATTTTTCTTAAGCTGCAATGTTTCTCACAGTGGCCACCGAACTATATGTATCATAACAACCCGCCTGACCAGTTTTGCAGCTCTTCAGGCATGTGGAAAGTTCAGCTGCTGATCAGGATCAGTGGGTTGGATGCTGGCTAATGCCGGATTTATCTTTTTTGTGCTTGGTTTTCACAGCCTAAAATAAGGGTTTTTTTTTTTATAATTCGATTTCTCATTTAATTCAGTGCTTTGTTTCTTATCAGATTGTGTCTCTATGAATATTATTTTGGTTTTAATGTCATTTTTATCAACTATAGTCTTGTAGATTTACAAAAGAAATATATGCACATGGAAAACTTTGATAACTGAAACAGATTCTTTAAAGCTTTTTATTTAATTTACTCACTTAGATTGAAATGTGAGTTTTGTTTCTGCTCCTTGTGACCCTTCTCCCCCAGGTCACATTTGCATTTGCACTTCAGAAACAATGGTGCTTCTGAATCTCATTTTCTGTTGCTGGGATCCTGTTTTAACAGCATCTTAAGAGAAAAAGTGAGAAACTTGATCATCTTTTTCACCTTGTGTTTTCGTAGGCTACCGCCTCCTTTTTTTTATTGCAGGAGAAAGAGGGCTGCAACTTTTTTTGCATATCCAAACACTTGAACAGGTTCAGGATCAGGGAGTGTCTTAACACATGAGATGTCTCACAAAGGCTCTGCCGCATTTCGGGTGTGCTTCATACCTTTTCCTCTCATGTGGAAAGAAGTATCTGATTTGTTGCAGATATGAAGTACCAAGGTAAGAGTTTTACTGTATTTAAAAACAGGTCATTTTACAAGTTATGTTTTGACCCTTGTCTGTTTATTTGTTTGTTTGTGTGTGGGAGGTACATTCTAATTGGTTGATCATTAATCTTTATGGTTGACAGTTGTTTTGTATCCTGTGGCTGGAATTGTTTTCCTCCTACTTATATGGGGAATTGCTTCATTTGATGTCCAGGATAAATCAACAAAATATTTTGGTGAGATCTTTTTTTTCATGTTTAAACTACAATTTATTACTTATTTTCTTAATTCAGATTTAACTATAGTACTGTCTCCATTCTTTCAGGACTTTATGAAAAAGATCGAGTGAAACTAAAGACGGTGGAAGGTAAGTCAAATGTTTGAATGTTTTGCGTGAGACGGTTACTTAAACTGTAGGTTCAGACTCTATGGGAGAAAGTCAGAACCACAACACACAGGGAAATAATGTGATTAAGTATTTAAATCACATTATTTAAATGTGATTTAAAAACTACTTGTTGGGGGGGGGGGGCAGCGTGGCAGAGTGAAACTGGCTGAACATGATAAACTGAACAGGTGAGTAAGGACGATACAAAGGAAGCGATCGAATAAAAAAAACAAATTGGCATAGTTCCATGACAAGTTAGGTCGGTCTAGAGCAGAAGTCCCTGAATTGAGGTGAAACTAGGCTGAGGGGTATTTTGAACAGACTGATTCCAACAGATCAATGAGATAGATAAGACAAGATAAGGCCCGATTGTGTGGACAAGAGGCCAGGAGTCACAGCCTGCAGCAGCCAGCAGCACACGCTAACAACCTCCCTGACAGCATTATGTGGAACATACTCCTACATTCCTCTCAGCAACCAACTTCCTACAAGAACAGAAATGTCTTTCCTTCTCTCTCATCTGCCTTTTTAGAGCTTGCTACTGCCAGGTCAAAGTGTGGCGTCTCCAAACTCTGTGGGCCAGGTCACTATGCCTTCCATATCCGGAGTGGAGCAGCTAATACAGTCGGGCCAAAGATCTGTTTTGAGGGTAAAATGTACGTGTTACTGTATTAGTACCTGAATGAACCAAAGATCGAGATTATCAGCTCTGAAGGGAAACTAAACCTTATCATTATATCCACAGGATCATGAGTGAGGTGCACAATAACGTGGGGATTGGTCTGAACGTTGTGGTGGTAAATGGTGAGTAAAATTCTCTCTGATACCTCATCAATACACTGAAGAACAGATCTATACAGAACTGGAGTTAATGTTTCACCCCAGTGTTTGTTGGTTGGTCGGTTTGGATATTACCCAAGAAAGAACCCAGGATCCAGGATTTATTTGAAAAAATGTTAGATCTTGATGAAACCTGGACATGTTTAGGGGACTGATAATGAAAGTGTGTGTGCAATTAATTCAGATCCAAATAAAAATCCAGTGAATTTAAATGTAGTTTCTCATAAAGGCAGAGTTAGGCAGAGTGTCCTTCTAGTCAAAAGTGTTTATTCGATGGTGAATGTGCAAAACATCAAAAAATAAAATGTAACATAAGTTGGTCAAACTCCATCTACTCCTGAAGATCATGTGATGTGAGCAAAAGCTCCTGAACAGCCATATTTAAGGACCTTGACATTCTTAACCTGGCTTTTCCTCCTCAGGTAAAACTGGAGATGTGGAGAACATTCGCCTTCTTAATGGAAGTAAGAGTTTTATTTCATTCAATCTCACTTCTGTTTTCCATTCTAACGTTTCTTGGTGATTTTCACAGTCATGAATTTTATTATTATTATTGTTAATATGAATTACTCTAATGAAAGGCCCACAAGAGGTCCTGGCATTCCTGAACGACATTAAACCTGGGATGATTTTATTGGCTGCCACTTATGATAATGCAAATGGGTGAGTCAGAAACTCAGTGATTCAAACTGTTAAATCTGTTTATGTCATATCACACTATCCCACCAATTCTGTTCTTCTGTGGCAGAATGTCAAAAGAGATCAGGGAGTTTTTCACTGCACTCGGGAGCTCTAAGGTCAAGTCTTTAAATACTCGAGACAACTGGGTGTTTGCAGCGAGAACGGGGACGCCAAAAACAGTGCATTTTGAGCAGGTCAGTAATCCTGTTCCCTGCAGTTTGATTTGTTCTGTTTGTGTTTTAAAATATGCCAAAATGGGAAGAAAAAGACACACAATGTAAAAATGAAATGTCGTCTTCTCCGTTTCCTGTCAGCTAAACGTTAATGAGGAGACAAAAAACCTTTATGAGGGATGGCCAGAAACAGCGGAGACAGAAGGCTGCTTCTCAAGTTCCGTTGGACAACAAAACTTGCCTGAAGTCTGATTCGATGAACGGCAGGAGAAGACGTCTGCATTCTTGTTTTTTATCATTTGACCCTTAAGACCATTGAGAGTAGTCGCTGGTAGTTAAATCCCCAGTCTTTCCTGTCAAAATGAAATGTACTGATGAATAAACATTATTTGATTCAATTAATGTTGTTTTTGATCTCTGCTACTTTTAGCAGAGATCAGCTTTAGCTTTTATCTGACATGTCTGTTTTTCTTGTCGTGGTATGCTTCTCCATTTCACCTTGAAGATCTAGGAGGACTCAGAATCTCTTTATTAATTCACTCATTTAAAAAGTAAGAGTACTGAAGTATCATCAGCAAAAAGTAAAGTTACAAAAATAAAAGTACACATTGTGCAATAAAATGTCCCTGGTGTCATTATTATTACAATAACATGTCCATTAGATTTTTAGCAATGTCTCAAAAGTCTGAATCTGACAACAAATCTTTATGTAAAAATTATTTCTTCTCAACCATGTGAGAAGTTTCCATTGCATTAAATCAATTGAATCTGTTCTCCAGGGTTCTCCACAATAAAACATGTTTTTTTAAATGAACTGTCATCATAAACAGTATATACTGTATAACATCATACTGAGGCATACATTTTTGTATTCCTGCCTCTGTTTTCTCTTTGTGTTTCCTCCTAAAGGCAGAGAATTCTTGAATCAAATGCAAACAAAGTCTTTAAAAAATTGCCTTGCCAACTGTGGAGAGTCTTGTGCCTCTGAGACTGTTTATCCCATCACGTCCTATTAATTCTTCTCCGCACAGTCTCCGAAGTGTGAGATTTAGCCAAACAGCAGGACTCTCTGCTCATCAACCAAACAGCAGCAGACTTAGACTTGTCATCTCTAATGCCTCATGTTGTTTTACAAGCGTTTGCTGTTTTAAACTCAGCTGAATAGAGATGAAACTTTTATACAATTATCACGTTATTGCAGATTTTTTTGCAACTAATGCAAATGCAACATTGAACGTTATCATCCTGTGATCATGCTGAGAGCACATATAGAAGTTTAACACCGTTTTTGATCATGACTAAGGTGTTAACGTGTCAAACAGGATGTGGGATTGGCTCGGGTAGCAGGTGTCATTAGTGTTCCCACTCCCTGCCCACTACCAGGATCCTGCTCCTGTGTGGGTGTGTGGGTGTGATATAAATGCTACAATGATATGGGTCTCTGTCAGGTTGTCCTGCAGTCAGTCAGTCAGCAGAGGGCAGTGCAGACATCGTTTCTGACACTGAAATTCAAGTTTAACCTTCTGCACCAAATACTTTTATACATGTGTGAGTTTCATTAGTATTAACACAACTTAAAGTCATCATAGGGATAACTTCAAAGTTTTTGGTTCGACCATTGGCAGTTTTTTACCAATCGATTGTCCCCTGAGGCTTTTTATCTGTAGGTAAACATGCCAGTCAGAGATATATACTCTCATCATATGTTTCGCAATTAAAATATCAAGTTGTCAAGGATCCTGAAACCAAAGCAGTCAAATAAATCCATACATTATTTCTCCCAGCTGACAGTGGGAGACAGGCGGGGCCTACATACAGAGACAAACACCCACTTATACTCTCACCCACAGTCAACTTGCACACTCATTTTTAGAACAGGTCTGCAGGCTACTCATGTGGTCCTTGGGGGCTACCTGGTGCCCGCGGGCAAAGTGTTGATGACCCCTGATCTAACCTATAGGAGGAAGCCAGAGAACCTGGAGAGTACATGCAGGATCCACACTGAACAGAGATTTGAACCTTCTTGCTGTGCAGACCATTACCTCACTGTGCCACTCTCCCTTTGAACTGTGGTAGATCATAAACAGAAAGTGGCACAAAAATACTCAAGTGAAGAATGGGTGTCTGAAAATTACAGTACAGTGTAATACATGCATTTGATGATATTCCACCCCTGTTTTTATTGACTCTTATTCTGTGAGAAAAATGTGTCACATCTCAATAATCTTTCTCCACAGCTGGAGAGAGAGAGGAGAGAGAGCAAAGAGGACAGCAGCATGATGCAGGAGAGGAAAAGTAAAGTGACGGTTATTATTCATGACTTCATGTTTTCTGTTGACTGTCAGCACCGTGGACTAGTGGCAGTAAGTGACGAGGTGGCGAGAGACAGGAATTCTCTTCACTGTCAGAGCTTCAGTATCCTTTGTTAAAAACCTGGTCAACAAATAGAAAACAGAACAGGTGCAAGAAAAATGATCTGTTGTATGTCAGACATTAAAGAGTGTGTGAATGAAACATAAATGTATGTTTTCACCTGAAAACATGCAGCAAGTGTCATATGAAATATACTTAACGA